TTTTCAAATTTTTTATTTTCAGGTTCTAAGATGGAGCGTAGAAGATCCAGATGGAAAACTTCTGAGATCAATTCCTAAGTTTCATTTTTTGAAATAAATTCATTTGTTGAGCGGTTGTTGTTTGTATAATGACGTAATGATTATATGTAAAGTATTTGGGAACATATGATATTCGGATACTGAAATACTGAAAGAAATATCAATTTCATATTGAAAGTTCAAAGTTGGATAGTTGGATGATGATGACCTTTGTGTGTATGTCTTGATGTGTGAATGTTATAGAATGAACCAGATGATTGTCCTTTTCATCAAATGAACTCATACGATAACTGTTGATGGAAAGTTGACTTTTGATTATTTTCGTTTATGTGTCTGTTGATTGCAGTTGGTTAAGTGTGATGATAGAGATAGCTGAATGAGATATGAAGCTGTGAGGAAAAGGTCTACTGAAATTGAATAATCTGTTAAATGGAATGATAAGAAGATGAAGAAGTGATAAAAACTTTCATTGAATAAACCAATTAAAAAGAGAAAAAGAAGAGAGAGAGAGAGAAGGAGGGAAGAAGTGTAGAGAGAGAGAGAGAGAGAGAATCATAGAGAAAGATGTAGAGAGTTATAGAGAGAGAGAGAGTTATCACTCCATAATCTGTTAAATGAACACAGAAACTAGTTAATGGGATTATTTATTTTATAAAAAAGTCGTTTGAAGACGTCTTCTATTAAATAGTTATGTAAATATAAACTATTAAACTATCATCTGAATCAGATTTAGAGATAATAGAATGATGATGATAGATCATATCTTGTGTGGAGAGTATATAGATGCAGTTTATCTGAAAGAGAGAGAGAGAAAGAGAATGAAGAGATGGGCAATTGCCGGTTGCAACAATAGAAGGAGGAGAGTATGGCGTGGGTCTTAAGCCATTCCAAAGATTGGTTCATTCACAGTTTTACAGAAAGTTTGCAATTCATTATCATCATTTTCAGTGCTTCATCTGACCACAGCGAGTGTTTACGAGATTTTTAAGAACAAGTAATCATTTTTCTTTTATCTGCACCTCACTATCGTGCTTGACTTGTGATCTATTGCAATTGAGGTAGATACGTGCCATTATCATATTTCAAGTTCAACACGTATACCATCACATCGTCCGTGTCCTACATCTGCAACATCAGATTGGGGGTCATATAATTAAGATATGTTATTATAAGTGCATGATAAGGAGATGCTTCTTATCGCTCCTTTTTTTTTCTTCATTCTCTTTTCCCCTAGTCCTATTTGCATAAAATGTGATTCGTTATCAATCCATACATCCTCTCATACCCCCCTGTACATCACCATCTGCCTCTGACATCTAATTGGAAATCATTTCAACTCATCAATATGACGTCGTCGTTACTAAATAATGAAAAACATATAAGTTATGAAACATTTACTGAAACTATTCATTTATCTAAAGAAAGCCGTTCATTATATTCGAAACATCAAATGTTTGCTCCACGAGGAAGATTAGCTTCATGTTTATTCTTATTCACAGTCATTGGAGTAACTATCAATTGGCCAGTAAGTTATCATCATCTCTTAATCATTACTATATGTGTATACAGGATGGTTATACCAATTCATATCCTAACACATCTGAAGATTCTTTCCGCACATTCATCAATGACAGCTATATCAAACGAGGGGTATGTTAAGCACATCTGTTATCACATTATCCTTTTCTAGGTATACTTAAAGGAATCAACTTATACCATCCTATGGTCTGTAACATTGAATTCCTGGTTTCTAGGATATCTCATTGGCACCTTTCTCACTCCAATCTGTGTGGAGAGATCTGGACGAAAGTGTGAGAGCATTTTATAATTCGAATTTTTCTCTTCTTATCATTTTTCTATTTCTTATTATCTCTCTCTATCTCTCTCTCTCTCTCTCTCATTGTGATCCTTCAATTTCAACGAACGATAACAATGTGTGAATGGTAAAGTTTGTTTGAAAGATATTTACAGGGTCCCTCATCATATCCTCTGCCATCTCCTTAGTCGGAGCTATTCTCAATTTGGTTTCTATCTTGGTCAAAATTCCAGAGCTCTTCACGATTGGCCGACTCGTTGGATCAGTTGGAAGTGGAATATCGTTCACAACGCTCATCCTTTTCCTGCAGGTTAGAATTGGATAGAGAAAAACGATACTGTGAGATAAGAATGAACAAAAAACGAAAAAGTGCAAATTTCATTTTAAATGTCATGATGACAGAGAGCGGCTGTGTTTGCAGAATCTCATATAACACATTGGAATCTGATGGATTTATTTCTATAAAACAATATTTTATAGGAAGTTTCACCTACTCATTATCGAGGAATATCATCGTTCACATGTGAGACAGCGTTCCTTCTGAATACCGTTTTGGGTATATTCTGTGGAATGGACATAGCCTTAGGCGAGAAGCTACCGTACCTAACAGGTACTTTAAAGTGATCATGAACTTCCTAGCAATCTATTGCAGGTCTATCCATCATACCATCTATAATAGCCATCATCATTTTGATTCCTTTAAAGGAGACACCCAAATACTTGTTGATAGTCGAAAAGAATATTGAGAAAGCAACCGATTCCATTTTGTATTATCATGGAAAGACAGACGTTCAAGAAGTATTGAATGAAATACAGAAAGAGGAGAAGGAAGAATCTAATGAGGCTAAGAGTTCGTTGTTAAGAGGATGTATTGAAACATTCAAAGTGCCACATCTAAGAGCAGCTCTAATACTTGGAATGGTCACACTTGAGGTTATTAAGAGTCACAATTACAATTGGACATGTCTCTAGTTTCAGCTCATTTCAAGCTTTTGGCCAATTACATACCTTTCAACGATATTCCTTGGAGATCTGTTCTCCTCATCAGTAGCTCAATACGTGTCTCTAACTTTCATAGTATCAAACTTCGTAGGTTCATTATTAGGTCTTCTTGTAGTTGAAAGGTAAGATGAGCGGAGATTGTTCTCTATAACAGTGTTTACATCCAGATTCGGAAGAAAGCCATTGCTCCTTATATTCGGATCAATCAACACATTCTCTCTCATTCTATATATGATCTGTGACCGTATGTCAGTCTCTCATGATGGATTCAAGTATGGTACTATAGTAGCTTTAATCATTTACGGTTTATCATATGGGTAAGATAGTTGCTGATAGATTGAGAGGATAACTCCTTATTCAGCGTTGGGCTTGGACCTATCGCCTACTTCTTAACATCAGAGCTTGTTCAACAACAATATCGTTCCTTAATCCAATCGATTGTGTATGCTTTCAATGCAATTTTAGGATTGATTGTATCAACTGCTACCTTACCACTTTACAATGTGATGGGAGTATGTCAACATGATGTCTTGAATATGCTAATTATGCTTCTTATAGGCATACTGTTTCATTCCATTATTCATTGTGCCAAGTATACTATGCTTAGTCTATTTATATTATTATTTACCTGAGACGAAGGATCGTGAGATACATGACATCGTACAAGGAATGATGATGAATGGTATATATTACTAACTATATCATATAGTATAAAGATATTTTAGCAAAACAACGAAGTCAAATCACTGAGGACAATCTCTAATATAAGGAAATGATGCCAATAGAAGATGTATAATATTTGCTTATTTTTCTTTTTTACTATATCGTATAGTTAATGAAGTTCTTTCTATAATTGACTCTTCTTCTCTCATCTCTCTGCCCTACACAGAGCATGATATTCACAGAAAGTTGTTTGAAAGACATTCTTTTAAATAAAACTTCCTTTGAACATGTAAGTTCTTGTTTTAAAACTAACTCGATTTCCTTTTCTCTCTCTTTCTCGTCTCTTCTATCTTTCTCTCTCTGTTGTAGACTCTGCCATAGATGCAGTATCTCTCCTAGACTCTCTCTCTTTGGCATCATTTTTTTCATCGGTTCGAGAGAAACAGAGAGAGAGTGAGTTCGGGGTCGTCATCATCGTCTTCAGCCAAGTCTTTCCTCCCACCCATACTGCCTCTCTTCTAGCATCCATTGCTCAGATCCCATGAAGCCGATAGAAGTAAAAGAGATAACATGTGTGATAGAGAGTCTCAGAGAAAAAAAGATGGAAAGAGTATGTCCATTTGGCTTGTTTGGAGATTGCAATGGCTATTCCTTTCTGTATACTTTTCAAAGATTTACGAAATTTCTTTCTTTTTTTCTTTGTTTTATCATGTCTCCTCTCTCTCTCTCTAACCTTGTCTCTCATTTAAATGGTCTGAAAGTTTCGCTTAAATCACTAATTATATGTATATAATTTGCATAATCATCAACCTAATTTGCATATTCTCTTCTGTCCATATCGAACTTCATACAGTTTTTCAAAACCATTTTCCATTTCTCATCGTTCAATCTATTTTCAGTCAAAGAGTCAAGTATGGTTTGTTGTCATATATGGATGAGCCATGGCCACTAAGAACATCACATCCAATACTGAGCTTATACCCGTAAGTCATTCCTCATTTGCATAAATACCATTAAAGTATAAAGAGAGAGAGAGAGTCTAAAGAAAAGATTTGATTCTTTAAAAACGACTTCATGCCCTAGTCTCAAGGGAAACAGTACTTTGTCATATAAAATGCTCACAAGAACATTCTTAACGAAAAATGGGTAAAAGGCTTGTTCTTCCGACAGCTCATTTGTTGAGTTGAAACTTGGACAAGTTACATTTCGACCAAAAACTTTTCCATTGAATGAGGAAAGCAACGATTGGGGTGGAAAAGCAAGGAGAATAAAAAACTTTTTTTTTGTCTCCACTCCGTCTGCTGACCATCGTCGAGAGGGAAGTGCCAAGACTGACTGAGAGTGAGTGGGTGGGGGAGAAGGCAAATGAGACGAAAAAAGCTTTTTGTTGTGATTAAAACGATGAGCAAACGGCTAAAAAGTAATTTTTGAATTTCGAAATACCATTTTTGGAAGGAAATTGAATTTTGGCTATTTGAACACAAAAAGGACATTTCTGAGTGAATCATAACATGCCCTGAGGGAGCTTTTATGATGTTTTGTTGTTGTTGCTTCTGGCAGAAGCTCATCACATTCATATTAAGTAAAAGAATTTGATAAAAATTAATAATTAATAGAAAGCAGATGGTCTGAGCGAAGGAAAAGCTTTTCCCAAATGCATATGTGAGATTGTGTTAGCTGTAGCATCGAACAATGAGAGAGTCATAAGAGAGATAGAAAGAGACTGTCAAGACAAGCCTCCCTTACATGGACACATTCTCATGTAGTGTGCTCATTCCAAAACGGAAATTTCATTGAAGCTTTTCGTGTGTCTCTCCTCAAAACAGATCTTAACTTTATAAATATTCATGTGAAGGCCATCTGTTATGAAACACTGTGAGAGAGAGAGAGCACAAAAAAGAAAGACGAAAAAACCAATTGAAAATCGGTTGTTCAATTCAAAACTACCAACCATCTCGATTGGATTAGAAAATGAAATGAACTGACGGACATCGTTCGTCTGACTAATCTCATCGTCGTTCTTCGCTAATTACAAGCGACGACGACATCCTACGAATTATGATACGATTGTAGCATTTTATGGAAAACTTCCAATGCACAACCGTTCACTACATCATCAATCATATATGACTGAACGTCAACCAAACTACACCTAAAACATTTCACGTGAAAAACGTTTACGTGACGTGACGTGTACACGTCAAATTCAAGAATGAGTTAACGGTGCAACGTGTGAACCTTTAAAGGATTACAGATGATCCAACCAATCATCAGATTACTCTTTTCCCCTTTTTCTTTCATTCGCAACATCATGAAATGGCATTGAAGAGATTTGTTTTATAAACAAACTTCTTTCATTTGTTGCATTTCCCTTGTTTCTCCTTCTTCTCCTTCTTCTCCTTCTCCTACTTCATCTTCTCCTACTTCTTGTTCTGCAATTGAATGTTTCTCATCCCTTCTTAAGAATTATTGCCTTCAACATAAATTTTCCTGATTTTTTCACAAAAATTAAGAGGACAGAAGAGTTTGAGAGGAGAGGCGGAGTCTAATTGGATCTCTGCAGACATCCTCCTCTCCAACCTCTCACCCTTCAAGCTATCTGTTCCTCTTCTTCTACATCTTCTGTTTCTGTTTCCCTTTTTGTCAGCTCCAGTTTCACAGAGAAGTTAAACTCACTGTGAAAGTGTCAAATCTGAGAGAAGAAACAGATTTTCATCTTGTCATTGATTGTATTGTCTATGTAAGGTATGGATGTTTAGTCCAAAGCGGAATGCTGTCGAGGTAAGATATGTTATTAACAGATTGTTTACCTCCTTGACTGTTTACGAATAATAACATCTTAAGCCCCTCAGGGTTGTGGGAGAGGGAGGCAAGGCGTTAATTATGATTTGCATGAGAATATGAGAGAGAAGAGAAAAAAGATAGTCTGTCGGTAAAAGCTTATATCGATGTGCGCGAATGCTTAATCAACCGACAGCTGACCAAGACCATATATGGAGTGAGTGAGAGAAACAAGGCCATTTCGTACCAATGCTCACCTAATTATCTCTCCCCCTCTTATTTTCTCTCTATCTTCTTAGATATGAAGAGAGAATATGTAATTATTCTAATTGTAATACGTGTGTGTGTATGTTGTCCTTGGTCAAACATTGCCGAAGGGCAGGGTAAGAAGCTGGACGAAGCTTGAATCTTTCCGTTTCCTTCCGGACCTGCATGTGCTTCTCATCTTCATTCAATTCATGTTGTTGATCGTCAACGATGGATGAATATGAAGATGAACAAGAAGACATAAGCCTCATCTGTCAAATATTATATTTTTATATTATTTTTCTTATTAAAATACAATATTTAAATTAGGATTTAAGTCGTCGTTGATTTCAGTCACTAATCCCCTCAGGGTGTGATGTAGTCAGCTTCTCATCCAATCTCCAGATGTCCATATCTCTTCATGAACATCCTTCAGCACATTTCATTCTTCTGAGCCTCTTCTTCCATCTCCTCATCATCATCATTCATCTTTCACTATTATTTTTTGAAAACATTCTCAACTCACTTTACTATATTTAACTATACCATATAGTTATCTCATAAACTATCCATTCTTCTCTCCATTCTCTAACTTGCCATCCAAACTGGTTTCATTGTCAGCGCCAAACAGAAAAAAAAATGAAAAAAAAATCCTTTCGAAGCTTATGTTCACTTTGATTCTTCCACTGCATCCGATTGTCCTCACGCCAATTTCATCCACAAAAGGCTTTATAAAACGGCCATTTCGGCTTAATTCAAAACATCGTTTGCACTAAATTTCTTCCCACAGTTCGCATGTTGAATGTTCCGCAAGTTTCCGCTTTTATGGTTTTGAGCGTCATCTCCCTCTCTCTCTCTCTCTCTGCCTGCTGTTGTCCACAACATCTTCATCACCTCCTTATGTGTTCATCGTTTGCCAACCTTTTTTTGAACATTTTTCTCATTTTTCTTTCATTTTCTTCTTTTCCTCATCCATATTTCCATTTTGAGAATCTGTTCAGATGAACAATAAGGCAGTTGAATGCTGCAAACACTTGTAAAGACGGCATATGTTGTATCAGATCGTCTTACTTCTCCTTTTTCCTCAATCCCTCATACACGTTCAATCTACTCTCTATCCTATATCTTACCTGTACTTGCATGCAAGCATTCAAAAAATCATTTTGATAGTTAATTATGTCGATTGAACAAGTTGTTCAGAGAGAAAGAGATAGAGATAGAGAGAAAGAGGGAGAGAGAGAGAGTTATATTGTTTACAAACGAACGACTGTACAGCCTTCGGATGAAAGCAGATAACTCTGAACAAATCTGATCGAATTTCAAAAGGCTTCACCGAGTAGAACTCAATATGAACGCCTGACAGTTGTGATGGTTTCATATGATGTGTTAAACTTGTTTTGTGAAGCATTTTAATTATATTTCAAGCTTTGTTAGATGAAGCAGGGAAAGGAAGTACAAAAAAAGATTTTTTTGTTAGAGAGAGAGAGAGAGAGAAAGAGAAAGAGAGAGAGAGGGAAGACGTTTCCCAGACCATCCATTACACATCTTCTACGCCTTCTTCCATTTGTTTGCTCAAAATGAAAAAGTTGTTCAGAGAAATATAGATTACATCAATACGATCCTGTAAAAAGAGAATATGAAGATGAAGCATAAGAAGAAGTTGAAATCAAAAAATATTCTTTTCGAGTGTTCACTTGCATTGACTTCAATTACAACATTCGTCTAGAAGAGATTAATCATGATGGTGCCAGTAGAAACAGATGAGCTGTATCTCATGTTTTCTGAAGTTTGTTTGTTTGTTTGAGCTTTTCCATCTAGAGAACATACAAGGACGCGGGAGAAGCAATGGGTATTGAATTCTTACTCAATACCATATCAAGCTGACAGTTTCTCTACAGATGCCATCTATTCAATCTCTCAATTTCTATACCATAGCTTGCTCTTTGCCCTTCCTCTCCTCTCTTCATCATTTCATCTTCTATCTCCCTCTCCTGCTCTCTCTCTCTCTCTCTCCTCCTTACTCATTGCTGACAGTTGAATGAATTCACTTGTGCTCATTACCTCATTTGTCGT